ACTAGCTTTTTCATCCCAACCAAGACCTTGTATAAAAATTAAAATCAATCTTTCCATCCATTCACCATTTGTTTTTATACTGTCTGCACAAACGAACCACTGAACCTAATGAAAAATAAAATGTACAAAAATCACAGAATTCTTCACCTAGGTCAAAATTATGATATGTATGGTGTTTAGTGACGGTTAGTCAATTATTATTCGGAGATCGTGAGATGCGATCTGGTGTGACGTAGGTTTTAGAAAAACATTTGCTGTATCGTGCCAACGTTTCAATCTTTATTGAAATCATCTTCAGATCGCAAAGTGTTTGTTTTCCTTGTAGATGTGTCATTCTTGTGTGTCGTATGACACATCTACGAAAAGAATGACACATCTACACGGAAAACAAACACTTTGAGCCCTGAAGATGATCTCAATAAAGATCGAAACGTTGGCACGATAAAGAAAATGTTTTTCTAAAACCTACGTCATACCAGACCGCATCTGACGATCTCCAAATAATTATGATGATAGCTACGAACATGTGCAATGTAATCTCAGTTTTTCTGAATCAGAGATGTTCTAGCACTAATTAATTTTAATTGAGTTGCAATTTTCTAAAGAGGTGTTAAGACAAGAGATTCGGTTTCAATTTTACCGCTGCTAAAGAATCTATTTTTAGGGGATAACATAGAAAAACCTAGAGCTTTAAAATGATTAATACGCCTCAACAAATGTCACAAATAAACAATAGACCTGATTGCATATTTATTTTTAATAAAGCGGAGAATCGATAAACTTTAAGGTCGGATCACTCTCACATTTACTTAATTCCCTATTGAATATTAATAAATTTCGACGACAGAGGAAAAAGAACGCCTCCTTAATCCTAGATAACCGAATAACATATACAACTATATCTCAAGGAACAATGGTATCTATTTTTAGTATTTCCTCGTGATCGCAGATGTGATTTTAGCTTCCGCAACACCGGCGACTCCTGACCTCGGCTATATTTAAATATAGAATAATAACGGAACAATGGGTAATATCTATCATGGGCAATAAAAGAAGTTTTCGTCTTAGAGATAATGCGAATTGAAAGTAAAAACTGCTTGTATATATGCTTTCAATTATTCCGACGATAAAAACACAGATGGAAATCAATCCATAATCATAATACTCACTAGGATTATATCTCAGAAAAACAGCTGAGCTATAGACTAACTCGCATATAGATTTTGCAATATCTTGCTTTAGTGAACAGCAAAAAGGATTTGAAGTGAAATCCGGTAGAAAAGGTGAAGTGGAGAGAACCAAGTTGCTCCCAGCCCCAAGTCCTGACCTAGTACCTTCAGATTGTAGTTGAGATACAAAAGTCAGTGTCACGAGCGGGATTCGAACCCACGATCGTCGGCTAGATACGCCGCTGCTCTGCCACTTGAGCTATCGTGACGTCGATCCACTCGGACATTAACTTCCCATCTCAACCCCACCTTTTGAATTTTCCTTCCTTTTTGCCATTTCTTGAAGCGGACGACGAAAACTAGTGACTTTAATAAGTTAAAATGAAGTATACCTTCACTAAAGCTCTGTGTGACCATTTCATTTATCGCCGAGAATCAAATAGATTACACTTTCAATTACTTAATCTTTTTATATAAGGTTTTGATTGAAATGAAAAAGTCAGTGTAACGAGCGGGATTCGAACCCTCGACCTTTGGCTAAATACGCCGCTACTCTACCACTTGAACTATCGTGACCTCGATCCACTCGGACACCAACTCCCCATCTCAACCCCACCTTTTTGTTAAATTTACCATCATTTTTGCCATTTTAATCTCAACTAAAATCCTTAATTAATTGAAAGATATTAATTGGTCAAGCGGACCAAGAAAACTAGTAAATTGAATAAGTTAAAATGAAGTATATCTTCACTAAACCTCTCCGTGGCCATTTTATTTGTCGTCGAGAATGAAATAGATTACACGACATTTGAAAAATGGCAAAAAGGAGGGAAAATTCAAAAGGTGGGGTTGAGATGGGAAGTTAGTGTCCGAGTGGATCGAGGTCACGATAGCTCAAGTGGTAGAGCAGCGGCGTATCTAGCCGAAGATCGTGAGTTCGAATCCCGCTCGTGACACTGACTTTTTTATATCAACTAAAAACCTTAATTAACTGTAATATATTAATTGGTCAAGCGGACCACGAAAACTAGCGAATTTAATAAGTTGTAATTATTTATGTAATAAATAGGCCCTGTTGTTGGCGATAAAATTGCCGAAAGCTTAGAAAAAAAAAAAAAAAGAAGAGTTTTATTAATCAGTAAAAGACTTCAAGAAGATTTCATAAACAACGATTTTTCTTTTTAATTATTCTTATCTAGGGTAATTACACATTTTGCTATTGTATAATGTCATTATTGCTCATTGCAATTTTTTTCTTTTGTTTCGTTAATTTTAATAATTGCTTACTACTGTTTATATTGTTAATATTAATATTTTCTAGCTATGCCATTATATTTTGTGTTTCACATAAAATGCAATTTGTATAATTTTTAATAAAAAATGTATTTCAATCAATTAATCAATAAAATCTTAAGACATCTGAAGCATTTAAAGCTCAACTTGATCAAAATTAACGTAGTAGTAGAAAAAATCCCACAAGATCGTCAGACATCCCGACCAAAATATTTACAGGCTTCAGGAAGTGTTCCAGTAAAATTTTTCTCATCAATATTTTATATCAAAGTTATTCATTTATACTGAAAAAGGCATCATTTTAATCTATACGCGCCAGTCGTTTAATATTCTTCCGGTAAAAACCGTGACAATATGAGCTGATTTTCCAAATTTAGCAAAGGGAAAATTTTATGTGAGGCATGAAATTGATCATCTAGAACGACATGAGTTGGTAATAATAAATTCCTTACAGTTCAGGACGAATTAGCAAAACAATTTGTCAGACGTGTGAAACCAGCTCTGACTAAAATACAATTTGTCCCTTCAGCTTCGTTTATACTCGTACCGGCTTTAACTATTAATTAATTTAGACGAAATTGTTCTTCCAATATTATTATATAGTATATAGTAATATACATTATTGTTATATTATATTGTATTATTATAATATTATATTGTAACGAATTTCCCTTGGGTTTACGAATATCTTTCATTCGATAAACGTTTTATCCTAAAAGGTAGAATTGAAAGCGGGGTCGCATCATATCAGCAGATATCCAAAATTGGATCATGTTGCGGTCTCGGAACGAAACCGTTTAACCTGTTTTCCGCCTGAGGAGGGAAAAAGGACCTGGGAGAGAACTTAGTGGAATTACTCAGTGAATTTAGGACGGCATGGGCGGCCGGCAATAACCGACCACTGCGGCCCGTTGCGTGCGTGCGCGCTAAACCAGCCCAAGGGCACGCATCTCGGCCGAATCGAAGTACCTTCCGGCCTTTTCACAAATGGTTTCTCATTTACAGCTTTTCTGGAAAATGTAAAGGGTAAACGAATTCTAATTAGGGGGAAAGCGGATATACTAGCCTTCCAAACGGCGCGGCAATGCGGGTTTAGCATAGCTCGTGCCGTTTAATGAAGCGCTCCTCATGATTAACGGACCTTCAACTGCTTCATATTGCCACCAATCCAGGTACAAACAACAAAAGGTAAATTTAATTAATTGTGTAACCCTATAAATGAACAAAAACAGAAAAAACCCTCAACCAGGAAAAAATCACTAAATAGACAGTATTAATAAATTAAACTGACGCAATGTTCATAAGTCTGATTAAATGTCATCGATCTGATCTAGAATAAAACTTCATCAGAGATAAAAATGTAATCACACGAAAAAATCGTCTCTTATTTAATCTCTATTATCTAACAGCTCTGCCATTTAAAAGATTATTTACGATATTCATTCACATCAATAATAGGAAAAACTCATTTAAATTTTTTAAATTTTCATTCATAAACGCATGTGAAGAAAATGAATCATTGTCATCAAATTGCTGAGATCACAGGCTCTTTAATCCGTTTATTTTTATCTGTGTATTAGATTTTAAATAAACAAAATGTAATAAATATAATAGTAAATATTTTTAAATTAATTAAGGTTTTTAGTTGAGATAAAAAAGTCAGTGTCACGAGCGGGATTCGAACCCACGATCTTGGGCTAGATACGCCGCTGCTCTACCACTTGAGCTATCGTGACTTCGATCCACTCAGACATTAACTTCCCATCTCAACCCCATCTATTTTTTTGCCCCTTTTTGCGATTTTTCAAGTGTATCCAAATTTTGATTGTTCACCTCAAATAATTTATATAATTAATATTTCACATTATACACTAATTGTGAGAGCTAAGAGACCTAATGAGAATGAAAATTCAATAGTGACAAAACCAAAAAATCTCATCTCAAAGTCATATAAACCTTATAGTTTTGTACTCCCATTAGCAAATTTTCATTAGTTTAATTTTTATCAGAGAGAAATAACTAAATAACTGAATAGGAATTTTTACTAAAATGTGTTAACCAAATACAGTTGTTAAACCAACAAACCTGAGAGAATTTGTCATCAAACCACAAATTCGAAAGGTGGGGTTAAGATTGGGAAGTTAGTGTCCGGGTGGATCGAACGCTCAGGTGGTAGAGTAGAGGCGTATCTAGTCGAAGATCGTAGGTTCGAATCCCGCTCGTGACACTGACTTTTTTATATCAACTAAAAACCTTACTTAATCGAAAGATATCAATGGGTCAAACGTACCATGAAAACTAGTGAATAGAATAATAAATAATATTGAAATAATTATTGGACATTCCTGCGTAATCCTGAATTTTTAGCAACGGATAAAATACACATTTTCATCATAATATTCTTTTTCAAATAACTAGTAAAGCAAGATATTGTTTAAATTCAGCTGTGTACTAACTCAGAAAAAAAACGAACGAAAAACGTTAAATTCCGAGTTGTACTTTACAAGTTTAAAGCGTGCTTAGATTGAAATTTCTTACCTGGTAATTGTTTCTCCGATCTCGATCTCGACTGCTTGTAGTTCTGAAACAAAACAGATCTGTATTGATACAAAGACATGAGCGAGATGTTCCTGTTAGCACTAATGCAATTATTATTACTTTTGTACAAAATAAATTATTATATTTTTCGGAATAAAAAATTCAGTCACTTTTTTCTCAGGAGAGCAGATACAAACACATTCTTTTTTATTATCTCCTCAAGTTTTTCTATGAATTATTGACTATTGAGTTGGTTGTGTTTGTTTTTGAATATATCATAGGACAGTTAAACTACTGTGTAAGTAATAGGATTATCAAAAAAAAATTAAGAGAGGTAATGTGAGAGTATGTATGTGAGAGAGAGAGAGAGAGAGAGAGAGAGAGTGAGTGAGAAAGTGAGATAGAAAGATGGATAAATAGATTGTCAGATGTATAGATAAATAAATAGATAGATATATAATAGATATATAGATATATAAATAGAGGTAGAGAGTTTGAGCGCTGATGATGATCTCAATAAAGATTGAAGCGTTGGCACGATAAAGAAAATGTTTTTCTAAACCTACGTCAACTCAGACCGCATCTCACGATCTCCAAATAATCATTATAATTATACAATCCATTATATTTCGTGGTCCGACAGACCAAATAACTTCTTTCAATTAATTAATCTTTATGTGAGGTATTGGTTGAAATGAAAACGTTAGTGTCACGAGCGGTATTCGAACCCACGACCTTTGGCTCAATACGCCGCTGCTCTAACCACTTCTGCTATCGTGACTTCCATCCCCTCGGGCAACAACATCCCAACTCTCCGTGGCCATTACATTTGTCGCCGAGAATCGAATCCTGATTACACGACATTTGAAAAATGGCAAAAAGAAGGGAAAATTTGAAATGTAGGTTGAGATCTAAAATTTCTAGCATTGTATAAATTCATAATATTTTTTTTCTCATCCTACATATATTTGTAAAATTCAAACAATCTTTATACATCCCAGGCCGTGAAGATGATCTCAATAAAGATCGAACGTTGGCACGATAAAGAAAATGTTTTTCTAAAAACTAAGTCACACTAGACCGCATCTCACGATCTCCAAATAATTATTTCATATTGTTTTCTTTTTATTCCGTTATTACGTGGTTTTTGTTTGTTTTATTTGGTATTACATTGTTATTATTTTATTATTACATTATATGTATTATGTATGTGCCTTATGTTGTATATTTTATTTATATTATTTATATATTTGTATGTGCGTACATGTAAGAGAATGTGTTTTATATATTATTGTTACTATTATATTGTTACATTCTTAGTAGTACATTGTTCTACCATTCCATTTTGAATTATTATTTTTCCATCGCTCAAAAAGCTATTTTATGCAACTGTATTTTTTGTTTTGTTATCCTTAAGGGAAACAAGGACATAATAAAATGTTTTCTCTCTCTCTCTTTCGCGCCGATTTATTTCTTGGGCTGTAAGGCCTCAAATTGTTTATAGACAGGGGACACAGCAGTTTACAAGGATTTCTGAAAAGCAATAAAGCAATAAAGGTAAGGAGTTGACTTCAGTTAAGCCGTCTTCAGGTCGTTCAGGAAAATAAGGCTTTGATCTCCAAAACATTTCTAATTAACTGCAAACACTCAACTAAGAACGCTGCGCAAATCTTGATGAGGTGTGGAATGAAATAATTCAGTGAAAAAACATTCGCTCGTGTATCGGTTGATGTGTTTGTAAACGCTGTGGAAAGTAATTGAGAAATATATAATGAAATAATTCGATGGTTAATTGGGAAAACATAAAAACAAATTTTCCAATTCGTCAAGCTTTCGACCCGGACTTCTAGGTCATCATCAGGGCCTATATTTTTCGAACCAACTTTTATAAATAAACATAAACAATTTCTTTTTAGGTAACTAGTTAATATATGGGGTTTTAAAATTTACAGTTCATAGGCTGATGATGACTTAGAAGTCCGGGTCGAAAACTCGACTTTGGTAATTTTGTTTTATGTTCTCCCTTGACCATACTTCTGACAATACATCAAATTAATCTTCAAGTCGTCGTTACCTGAACTTAAACAAAGATTCAGCATAGAGTTAAATGTTAATGGAAATTTGCAATCCTATTTTTGCTACAAATATCTAAGAATGCATATTCTCTCTACAGGACGCCAAATGATTTTATTCAATTGGAACTTTCATGTGTATTTCACTGTAGCAATTTAGATAAATAATGGTAGATTTATGGCAACTAACTACGCAAGTACACAGATAAATTCTTTGTTACTTTTTTTTTATATATATTTAGAAATCGTGAGATGGGGTCTGGTGTGATGTAGGTTTCAGAAAAACATTTTCTTAATCGTGCCAACGTTTCGATGTTTATTGAGATCATCTTCAGGGCGCAAAGTGTTTGTCTTCTGTGTAATTTTGCCATTCTTGCGTGTCGTGTTGAGAGTGCCCACGACACGCAAGAATGGCACAATCACACCAGACCGCATCTCACGATTTCTAAATAAATATCGATTAACGGTCACTAATCACCACACTTTGTTACTTTGTTTTACTGAAGAATTTCGATGCATATTTTTGGATTATGCTATATTCAATGAATTATATTTTACATCATTTAAATTCAATTCGATAAAAAATTTAATCTGGAAACATGGAGTTCGACAAAGCAATTCATTTCATTGAGCTTTGTTGGTGTGGATGTTTAATGAAAAATTTTATTTGTTTACAAAAAATAATATAAGTTGATTTCATTCACAAAATCAAAAAATCACTTTGCTTTTTCTTAAATACTTATAATTTTATTAAATGTTATCGTTAAAAGTCTGCTTGTTGTAACAATAAGGGCCAAATAAGCATAGTACAATAATCTATCAATTAATTAATGTTTTTAGTTGAGATAAAAAAGTCAGTGTCACGAGCGGGATTCGAACCCACGATCTTCGGCTAGATATGCAGCTGCTCTACCACTTGAGCTATCGTGACTTCGATCCGCTCGGGCGCTAACTTCCCATCTCAATTCCACTTTTTGCCATTTTTCAATCCTTGAATTTGAATTCAATCTCCTTTTTGAGATGGGAAGTTAATGCCCGAGCGGATCGAAGTCACGATAGTTCAAGTGGTAAAACAGCGGCGTATCTAGCCGAAGATCGTGGGTTCGAATCCCGCTCGTGACACTGACTTTTTTATCTCAACTAAAAACCTTAATTATTTAATAGATATTAATTGTTCAAGCGTACCACAAGAACTAGTGAATTTAATAGTACAATAATACTTATCAGTCAATCAACGATGCAACAAATGGTGAGACTATGTATAAATTTCACCAAGTCTGACCAGACATGAAAATTTAAGTACTTCAAAAGTTCAAAGTAAATTTTAAAAAATGAAAATAATAACTTGAAAAGCAAATGAAGGCGTAAACTGGATATAAAATTGGAAGCATTATTTTTTTATAACGTGGAACACAGACAAGAAAGCCAAAAAGTCTTTAAAATCAGGATGTGCAAAATCATACATTCTAGCAACCAAGCAAGAAGCGGCATTGCTTCAGCTTACTATTGTTTGTATAAATCGCAAGAAAAAGATTTATGGTTGGTATAATTGATCCCAACTGTTAATAGAAAATAAATTTTAAAGCCTAAATCGATATTAATTTCGACATTCAACGATCCTCACAAATCCATCCTGTATCTAACCCCTATGATTTCATATGCAGGAATACTCTTTACCACCTGTCGTGGATATCATGATTGCCCTCCCACCTTAAAAAACACAAGCTAAGTATCGAGTCACTCTTCAAAAATCTTAGAGCAAGTATAAAAAAAAATCGCATGCAATATGTAAAGTATATATATATATATATATATATATATATATATATATATTTACTGGCGATAAGTCGAAAATTTCAGGTGTTTCTACTCACCATATGCAACAAAAAAAGTTCCTTTAATCTTCTGTCCAAATGTCAAAAGTAAAGAATTAAGTTTTGGGTTTTAATTTTCGGACAACGCAACAACGAGGATGGACCGAAAACACGCACAGTGCAAATGAAAGAGATCAACTATTTTTAACTCTTTTTATTATCATGAACCGCAAAATATAGACATTAGCGGCCACACGTTCGAAGGTCACTAGTGTCGAAAATTTCAGGAGGTGTTTCTTCTCACCGCATGCAACAAAAAACTTTTTCTTTGGTTTGCAACAGGGAAACTGGTTCTTTGGTATAAGGACCACGATTAACAGAATGCAAAATTTCCTCATCCACATCAATTCACTGATTGTCTCCCCTCTTTCTTCGAGAAAAAGAAGCAGTTTCCCTCAGCCTCTGATGAAGTCGTTGGAAGGTGCTGGAACGTCTCAATGTGGAAAACGTGCTTGGTATTCTCCTCTTGCAGCAGTCGCATTACTGTTGCAGTAACCGTAAATGAAATGCATATCAGCAAGATGTTCATTAGGAAACAAGGACATATTTTAAATTACCAACCTGAGGAAGTTATCAGCTGATAACATAAAACAAACTGATTGAATTGAACATTAAAGAACTGACACGAAACTCAAGAGCCGGACGGATTGCCCGGAAAAATTGAACCTCCTTTCATCCACAACAGTTTTTTTCAACAAAATGCAAAATTTTTGGCTCTTCCAGAAGAACATTCCAAAATGGTGGGTATACCACTGGAAGCGAAATGAAAGGAGAACTTTTGAGGAAATTTCTAAAGCTCGAGGAGTTTGTAGTTATTAACATTTACCAACCCAACATCTTAAAAAAATCCAAATTTCAACATTTTTGTTTTTTCAGAACTTTTCGTGCAGAACTTTTTCATCAATTCTGCAATCTAAATAAGTTTCCTTACAGCAAATTTAACGTTCTTTCAGGCACAAACCAGATTTTTCTAGAGTCAGAAATTCTGAAGTTTATAAGCAATTTAATGGACCTAAGTTGAGAAATTTCAAATAATACTCAAAACCTGAAATTACTTCTTTACTGTTGAGTTTTGGCAGGGGTTTATAGGAAGTTTTTTATTGCATATGGTGAGTAGAAACACCACCTGAAATTTTCGACACTTATTGACAGTCACCCTGTATAATGTTAGTTATAACGAGCTATTTATTTTATTTACGATTGCTAGATATTGCAAGTCTCGTTAACATTTTTATAGATTCATCTATTATATATTTTTATACTATAAAATATGAAATTTTAACGAAGTGACTAAACACGTTTAATTTGCTGTTGCATGGTATCATATATCATGGTTTTATCTATTAGGTTTCCTAACGTTATTGCGGCATTTCTGGGTTATGAATTTTAATGCGGACGCCCTGCTCTCCTCCGTCGGGACGAGGAATTGGTGTTAAACTTGGCGCTCTTATGCAACAACGATGATGGGCCGAAAACATGCCGGTGGTGCAAATGAAAGCGATCAACTCTTTCATGTCGTTAATTAACATTAACAGCAAACGAGGTGCCAAGATCGACATTAGCGGTCACACGTCCACCGGGTTTCTCGCTAGGCGGATTAACATAACCCGATTGGCCCAATTAAGCGCAACGACGAGAATATGATCAAATCTACATATTTATACGAGGATGGGGACAATAATACCCCTCTTCCGGAGTGTATAAATTATTTATGTGTTTGCTCAAGGGTTAGCCGGGCTTAAATTAAATAAGTAATCCCTGTCCCCCGGGGGCACAAATAAAATAACAATCACAATGAATTAACAGTAAGATCTAATAAGCTTTCGAGAGAAAAAAAAACCGGGCGCACTACTACCTCTAATAAGTGATGGAATCGGATGATCGAATAAAAAACAATATCCGATTATCCCCTAAGGCGTACAAATCCATTTCATATTTATGTAAATAATAATTAAATTCTTTTCAAAGAAGAATGCCCGATTTTTACCCCGTCAATCCTTACTTTTCATACTTCCTCACGAAGCGAGACTCTACGAACCCAATAAATCACAAAAGCTTACAAGGATTATAAGGTACATGAGATAACAGAATAATTACAAGTATCAAAAAAAAAAATTAATTGGAAATGTGGATCTCAAGGAGAGAATTATTTACACACGCAAAATTTTATGATTTTTTTTACGAGGGTTTGCAACAGCAGAGGTTATATCAACCCTCGGGGTGCGCGGGGGTTTTTGAAAAAAAGCCCATTTGCAAGTATGGCCGCTGGATTCGAACCCGGGACCTTTACCTTACAGTGATAGAGCCGTGTCAACGCCTAAACCATTGCGGCCACCGACGCCCCCTATGATCGTAAATAAGAAACTGGCTGATCATAATTAAAACCAAGTCTGTCTTAAGCTCTTCGACACTGAAATCAACAAATACAAAATAAACACTTGCCAAATCGATAAAAATAATAAATAAACGATTTACCAGGTTGAAAAGAAGGGGATTGTATAACAAGAATAAAACTTGTTGTATTATTTTATAATAAGAATAAAACATTTTGTTGCCAAACTTTCAATGGTTATACCATCAATATCATTTACGCATCGTTCTTATCAAAGTTCTTATAGCCAGAAACACACTTACGCGATGCTACGCCAGGCGACGCTACCCGACGCAAATCAAAACTCCGATTTTCCATAAGGTTGCATTACCCCCGTGCATATCTACCCAATGCTATGCCACGCTAACCTACCCGACGCTCTGCGATCCCCACTGCCCAGATTTTCGTCGGGTCGCATCGAGTACAGTCGAAGACAACTCATATTTTTATTCAAACTACATGTATTATTGTCGTTATATTAATTACAACATACTTATTTTAATATAAGCCAAATTAACTGTGATTAAAAATTAATTAGTTTTTATTTAAAAAATTAATTTTATTGGTTTAGTAGAAAATTAATCAAAACACCGGAATACGATTTTTTGATATAATGAATTTAACTAACAATTTATTGTATTCGCTTCGGCGGTAGACATACAAAAATTGGAACAATTTATTACACGGTTTTGCTCATAAAATTTAATTAACAATTTATTTCATAGTTTTGCTCGTAAAATTACACCATTTTGTAATGTCAGGTAGCATTAGAACAGGACAATCATATTTTTTGTAGTTTATTTCAAACTAAGTACATGTAATTTTGTCGTTATATTAATTACAACATGTTATTTTAATGTAAACCAAATTAAACGAGATCAAAACTGCAGAAGTTTTTATAAACATTGTTTAATTATGATGGTTAGGAGTAACTTTATTTAAAACAATTAAGTTTAACAAACAATTTATTAGATGGTTGTGCTCATAAAATTTAACTAACAATTTATTACAAGGTTTTGCTCAAAATAGTGCATTAAGAACAAAAGATGCGTTGCGATTGTGATAGTGATTATTGTGATAAACGCTGTGGACTGTACGCGACGTGTGCTTGCGTCGGATCGATGTGCACACCTCACCAAAACGTGGCAAGGCGTCGGGTAGCATCGGGTAGCGTCGCATGGCGTAGCATCGGGTAAGTGTGTTCCTGGCTTAATAGTTTTTAATAAGAGAGCCTTTTCGTAATGAAGGATGTTGGCTGAAGCTTCTGCAGTTCGTACAATATTGTATTTTTCAACTGAAGATCTGCCAGATGATCCTTTTATTCAATTACATTTACCGTTTAGTTTCTATTGGGAAATAATCTGATATGATTTAAATAATCTCAGCTTTGAACATTCGTGTGTACCGAGTTAAACCAATCAGATCCCGCAGTCTTCCAGCAATTTCAGCTTTTGTATAATGTGCAATGTGTACAGATCTGGAGAATCGCTTGCTCGGATCTTATCCGTCCAGCCAACGAGGCTGAGCTCCAGGGGCTATCTTCACCTCGATCATTTTAGCCTCCAACGTGACAGATTCTAGATCCAAACCCAATCACATTTTAGGGGGTGTTAACGATGTTTATAAGATGTTAATTCGTGTTAACTCAAATAGAGAAATGTCCAGTAAGATCGTGAACGCCCCCTCATTTTCTTAGCTTGATAAACGTTAATTTTTCCGCAATGCTGCGCGTGGCGGTTGGTAGAACCAAAAATAAAGCTATAACAGTCCTTGAAGGCTTGTTGTTGTTTGTTTTGGTTTTCTTTTATTAAATTGTAAGATGCCAGAAGAAGGTAATAAAAAAAGAAAATTAATCAACTTTTTCATTCAAAATGCTATCTTTGTACTCGAAAAGTATTAACAAATGGCACGCTTCAATTTGTGCCGACATACCTAACTTGTGTCCTAACCTCTAACTGCCTACAATTTTATAGGATAGGGGATGTATTTTCTATGAATGAGAGTATAAAGAAAGGTCAGAAATTAACAAAAGAAATGTATTGGTTTGATTTAATTAATGCGTATTTAAGAATTAAAATAAGTGTGAACAAAAAACAGCTGTTTAATTCATGGCTGCCATGTTGGTTACCAACGCCCTACCGGATAGCAGTGTGACTACATTTTCGACCTAACATCTAACATTGGCCCTGGCCTGTTAGATCGAGCAATGTTAACTAGCCGATTCTAACACGTCTACTTCATCATTTTTCTCGTTCTAACAGGACTTAACAGGGTTAACACAAAGATCGTGAATACCCCTGAAATTTTTCCCTGCTTCCATTGATGCATTCTATTTTTTCTTTCCTTACAAAATTTGTTAGCGGTTCTTGGATTGTGAGGTCTCTTCTCGTCAATCTAGCGGCAGCTTCTTTGCCGATCAGGGCTATAATAATTCGACATTCATACTATATTCAAATGAAAATAAAACTTAAAATAAAAACGTCGAAAAGGATAAGTGATTGTCTAGCAAGAATAAAGCGTTTTATTCCCAGATTTTAAATGATTTATCATCGTCATTTGCAATTAATCAATTAATATTTTTTCTCAACCCAGGATATTGTTTGAAGCATTTATCCCTCAAACCTAGCTAAATGATGTAATTTTTGAATTGAAGATCGGCCAAATGGTTAACATTTTACCGTCTATTTATGTAAATGTAATTTATCGTTTAACAGGAACGTAGTTCGTAATAAAATTATTGAAAAGAACAACGCTTTCTGAAGAACATTTGAACCTTTGAAAAGATGGGCAGTATAATTAAGGCTAATCGTTTCAGTCATTCTTGCTATAATTATTTTTATTAAAATTATTTTGTGAAAAAATTTATAAGGATCACATCTAAAAGGCAGAATGTGTATAAACGACCAATAGGTTAAACAGAAGAAGCGAGTAATTTTAGTGCCAAGGTGGTTAACTGAGACCAGAAGTATATAAATAAAATTTATTGTTTAATTATAATGAAACAACCTTTAATAAAAAATAATGAAAATTTAGCGCAGGGAAGGGTTTGAAGGACCTAACAGGTTGCAGCCTTTGAATTGCTTATCTAATAGCTTGTGACCTTGGTCTGACGAAGCAAATCGGTTAAAAACCATGCAATCTATAATTAAATTAAATTTATCACTGATTTATAATTGAATAATAATTTATGCGAATGGAGTCTCACCTTAAACGCAGGTAAGTGTCTGAAGGACCGATAGCTTGTTACCTTGTAAAAGATGGTATAACGGAAGCGTCATGTGTGTAATACTATAATTTTATTAGATTTATCACTAGATTTTTTATTAGGAAAGAACATGTCCTGTTTCATAATTAAGGCCACTGTATATAGCTACAGTGTTTTGACACACTTATATTTGCATGAATGTTGCAAGAACAAGACACAGAATATGTGAAACCGGATGGATTTAAATTAGGTTATTAAAAGTCAATGGATTGAATGGCTTGAACTGACCTTCCGGTTGGGCAAGGACGAGTTGCCGTGACCTGCGAGGAGCGGAGCCGAGTTGGATTTGCCGCCCATCTCCTGACTCCTAGATTCCAGCGAGGGGGACGGAAGGCTAGAACCTGATGATGACGACGGACCCAGGGGCAGCCGGCTTGGTCTGTTCGCTAGCTCGGGTTCGCTGGATGACTCGGCAAGTTGACTCTGTCGACGTACCCAGATCTCCTTTGAAATGATAGGAAGCTGGCCTTTGGCGCTCTGGCGGCGTCGCAGTCTTTCCCATGTCTCCTTTCTTCTGCATTTTTGACAGCCTGAAATAAAAAAGAAGGAAAGAGGTTATTAAAACAAACTAGTAGGTGAGGTATATAGTATCGTCAAAAACCCGCGAGAGAAAACGGACCCAGTAGGTCACCCACTGTCGGTTCAACGACAAAAATGTTTCGATATAGAATACGAAGAGTAATAATGCGAAGTAGAAGTATTCTGATAACTCCTCGCACATTTTATGGGTAGCTCAATACAGCCAATTCTGGTCCTGGCATATATTTCAATTTCCTTCTCGCTCTATTCTCGTTTTTAACCGTTAATCACATCCTTTTCATTAGACCATGTGCCAGCTAATAATACGATCACTCTTGATGACTTTGGTAAAAAATTGCCAATTACAAAAGTACGTTTTCGTTGTTGGTCGTTTGATTTGTAATTGTCAGCTTGTAGTCTCTAGGTCGTCTTGTTAGTCCTTACTGTCAGACTATTGTTTATGTAAGTGTATTTTGTTCACTCTCTCTCTCTCTCTCTCTCTCTCTCTCTCTCTCTCTCTCTCTCTCTCTCTCTCTCTCCCCCTTCTCTATGTATAGTTCTCTTTCTCACTCGCAGTCTTTCAGACTTTCTTTCTCTCATTCTCTTACATACTCTTTCTGTGGACATGTATTACCTCTATATTGAGCCGAAGGTTGTGGGTTCGAATCCCGCTCGTGACACTGACTTTTTTATCTCAACCAAAACCTTATCAAAAAAGTTTAATTAATTAAAAGAAGTAACTTGGTCGATTGGCCATTAAAACATAAATGGGTTTTTCTAAACCTACATCACTCCAGACTGCATTTCATGATTTCTAAATAATTATCTCTCTAATTTTTTTTCTTCCGGTTTGCTATCCATCCAATTATCAGTTTCCTATATACAGGGTGTTCTAGTTCCTTCTGACGAAACTCAGGGAATCGATTCTACTTTTTGTTTGGAGCAAAAAATGCTCAGGAGAAAATGTTCGGAAAGTTCTCCATTTTGAAGATATTCGTTAATTTAGGTTTTTTCAACTTTTCATTACCTTACCACATAAAAACGCTTACAATTGCGTTGACATGTTTCAACTGATATTTTCTAACATTTTTATGTCATTCAGATTATTGCAAAGATTTATCCTACAGAAAATTTAGCGTTCTTTCAAATGGTATAAGTGTATTTGTTGTAGACTCAACATTTTGGAAGTTGTAAGCGTTTTTATATGGTAAGGTAGTGAAAAGTTGAAAAAATCTAAATTGACCAATATCTTCAAAGTAGAGAACTTTCCGAAAATTTTCTCCTAAGCATTTTTTGCTCCAAACGAAGAGTAGAATCGATTCCCTGAGTTTCGTCAGAAGGAACTGAGACACCCTGTATACATCTATTTATTTCTACTTTTGTATTTATATATCTATTTAATTTGTTTACTATTCATCTAACCATCCACCGATTTATTTATTTACCCAAATATTCAAATATATTTATTAGATTAGTTTATTTTTGAGATTAGTGTCACATAAGAATTACAGTAATATGTTTATTTATCGAGCATTCTATTTATCTTGCTATCAACTTATCCATTTATATGTTTATTTTGTTCTCTTTATCTATCTTATTATATTTTTGTCTATATACAATATCCATCTAATTTATTTACTCTCTTATCATATCACATAAGAATTACTGTAATATGTTTATTTATCTAGCCTTCTGTTTATCTTGCTATCAACTTATCCATTTATATGTTTATTTTATTCTATTTATCTATCTTATCATATGTTTTTCTATATGCAATATCTATCTACTTTATTTACTCTCTATCTACCTATCCATATATTTATCTGTTTACACATTATCCATTTATTTATCTAATTGTATATCTTTTTATCAATAATTTTATCTGATCTATTTATCTATCTATTTTTTTCTATCTATATGTATACCTTTATATCAATTTACCTGTTTATTGTATATCCATTTATTTATCAAATTTTTGCTTTCCCTCTCACTTTATCTCGATCCGCCTACTAATTCATCTATCTGTATATCTATTTATTCAGATATTTAACTGGTTTGTTATATATCCATTTATTTGTCTAATTTTCTCTCTTACATTCACTTTCGAGACTAAACTTTCCTGTACAATAAAGCAGTTCATCTTTCTGTCTGAGTTTCTGTCTTTCTATCTCATTCACCCTCTTTCTTTCCCTTTTTGTCTTTCTCTTTATCATTATTTCACTATCTCCCTCTCTCTCTATTTTGTTCCTGTCATTGTCAACTATCTATATGTATATTGTCAACTATCTATATGTATGCCTATACATCAATTTACCTGTTCATTGTATATCCATTTATTTATCAAATTTTCGCTTTCCCTCTCACTTTCTTTCGATCCGTCTACTTATTTTTCTAATTGTATATCTATTTATTCAAATATTTAACTGGTTTGTTATCTATCCATTTATTTGTCTAATTTTCTCTCTTACACTCACTTTCGAGACTAAACTTTCCTGGACAGTTAAACATTCCATCTTTCTGTCTGTGTTTCTGTCTTTCTATCTCAATCACCCACTTTCTTTCCCTTTTTCTCATTATCTCTCTGTTTCTCTTTATCATTATTTCACTATCTCTCGTCATTCTCTCTCTCCCTCTCTCTCTCTCTCTCTCTCTCTTTTTTTTTCGTTCCTGTCATTCTCTCACCCTCTCACTCTCTCCCCTTTGTCTCTCTCTCCTCTCACTCTCCCCCTTTATCTCTCTCCTCTCACTCTCCCCCTTTATCTTTCTATCTCCCTTCCCTTTCACTCCCTCTTCTCTCTCCCCTCTTTCGCTATCCCTTTCTCTCTCTCCCTTTCTCTGTCTCTCATCTCTCTTTCTCCCTCTCTCTTTTTTTGTTTCTGTCATTCTCTCTCTCACTCTCTCTCTCTCTCTCCCCTTTGTCTCTCTCTCCTCTCTCCCCTCCCTGTCAATCCCTTTCTCTCTCTCTCTCTCATCCCCTCTCTCTCTATCTCTCTCTTTTTTGTTCCTGTCATTCTCTCTCTCACTCTCTCTTTCTCTCTCTCTCTCTCGCTCTCTCGCGCTCTCTCTCTCTCTCTCTCTCTCTCTCTCTCTCTCTCTCTCTCCTCTTTGTCTCTCTACTCTCTCCCCTCCCTCTCAATCCCTTTCTCTCTCTCTCATCCCCTCTCTCTCCATCTCTCTCTTTTTTGGTTTCTGTCATTTTCCCTCTCTCTTTCTCTCCCCTTTGTCTCTCTCCTTTCTCCTTCTCTTTTTCTCTATCTATCTCACCACCTCTCACCGAACATGTCTCCTTCTTTCTCTCCCCCCTCCCCCATCACTCTCTCTTTATCTCTGTCATTTTCTCTATCTCTCTCCCTCTCACCTGATATATGTTACTCTTTTAATTTTTCCTTCTCTCGCACACCCAACAATAATGAATAAACAATGCATAATGTTGTCACATTACAAGTTGTAAATTATTTAAATCTCTCTTTTGGCAAGCGTAATATCTAACATTTATTTGTTTGTATTTTGTATTTCAAGAAATATATTAAGAAAACCGAAATGCAAATATCCTGGCAAATCGCCTGACTTCGCGGACCCAAAGACCGCCCATTATGATTCCAAATTCATCGAACAAGTAAATAATTCAGGAACTATTTTTATAAAGTGCATACCACATAACAGGTGCAATAATAAAGAAGATATTTAACGATTACAAACGAGACGCACTGTTAAATATGATATTTTAGGAAATTACCTCGGATCAATAAACAATAAATGAAACGGAGACAGGAGTGCTTTTCTCCCGAAATAAACCTAAAAGATACATCGGGCACATTGAACTTCTGAGATAGGTAAAGGTCGCTATGACATTCCAAGATCAGGACGTCTTATCTTAATTAGAATCTGACCGACAATAAAAGCCAAAGGATCACTCTCTCATTTACCTGAATATTAACAACCAGGAGGAAAATTTCAACGGGAAAATAATTTTTTCCCTTCTGTTATGTCTTAATGAAGAGAGAATTATTTATAAAAACGGTCTAGGGCTTTATTGCCTTAATGAATAAATCTTATCTAAAAAGGTGGCTGTAATTTTAGTAATATTGAACTGACTTTTAGGCGACGTGACCGGTGACGGAGATTTATCTTTTGGCGAATCACCGGAAGAACTATCAGGCGGTGGTGAGGACGAGGTCGAATCTTCTTCAGGAAGTGTTGAAGAATCGCTGAGCCAGGAGAAACTTGAACATCGCGAAACTGCAGGCGAAGTCTGCGTTCCGCAATCCTCTTCCTATGACAAAAAACGCAATTAATTCAATATAAAAAGTTTAAGACATATGTATATTAAGAAAAAATCAACGAAGTTAATAAATCCATTATATTTAGGGGTGATAATTGACCATATCAATTATTCTAATGAATTATGCTTTCCATCTAAGGTTTTTGGTTACGATGAAAAATTCGTGTCATGAGCGGGATTCGAACCCACGACCTTCGGCTCAATACGCCACTGGTCTAACTACTTGAGCTCCCTCTGGACTACAACCATCTGAACCTACAGGCTTTCGAATTTTCCCTCCATTTTGCCATTTTTCAAATGTGTAATCAGGATTCGATTCTCGGCGATATTTGAAGTGGCCACGGGGACCTTCCAGTGAAGTTATACTTCGTTTTCCTTATTAAACCCATTATATTTAGCCTATTGACCAAATTACTTTTTTCAGTTAATTAATCTTTTTATGTAAGGTAATGATTGAAATGAAAAAGTGAGTGACACGAGGGTGATTCGAACCCACGACCTTCGGCTAAATACGCCGCTGTTCTACCACTTGAGCCATCGTGACTTCGATCCACTCGGACACCAACTCCCCATCTCAACCTACAACCACACAGCCTTCCAAACATACTAATGATTAATTGAAATCAAACTATAGAAGGATAATTTATATTAAATCAAAATTTGGCAGTCGTACATTGTAAATCGCAGTCACATTCTAAAAGCAGCGAGATTTTGCGGACCGAACCTGGTAAATTTGTCTAAAGCTGAACTCAACAGTACCTTGCATCTCTGTTCTATTTTGCTCTTCGTACACTACGAATGGTACCCAAAAAATAGAACTATTTCGTATAGACCAATAAGTCTTGTTAAAAATAATTCCTCCAATCCTAAATTCTCAAAATATGATTCCTTGTCCAACAGTCCCATCGCGTCGTCTGTTCCTCCATTGAACTGGGTACTATTCCTGAGTCTGTGCTGTATTAAGCGAAGCTCGGGGTTGGCATCCTTCTTACTATCTCATACTTAACAGCTCTACCTAAGTAGTCTGTTTTTTTGAAGACATTCAAGGTCCCATTTTGCATATTATACTGGTGTTCCTCAGGGTTGCGTTCTAACTTCCACAATTTAGACCACAGCTAACATCCCATCTCATCCTCCAACTAACCTGATCATCGTTTTCATTCGAAACCTTTAACTTCACCTCACAATATTAGACATGTGTGCAAAGAAAAGAAAATGAACACAGAAAAATCTACCCACATAACATTCTGTCTATGCATAAAGATTACTCTTTCCAATTACTTAATAATCTCCCCCCTCCCAAATAAGGCCAAGGTAAGGTACCTAGGGCAGTAAACGACAAATATTTATAGTGGAATGGAACAGGATACAGGACTCTTTTCACTATTTACCTCTCACAAATAAGAGGCTGCTTTGTAACACCTTCAAAGCCCATTTTGACATACAGAAAAGAAGTGTGAGAATCAGTCAGATATATCACATCTTCCTGACCAAAACTGCATTATCCGTAATCCTAAGAAAAATTCATGATGATCCATTTTACGTTCGCAACGAAAGTATCCATACAGAACTAAATTTTTGCCCAGGTGTAATTCGCTCCCATTACGATTTTAAGTTTCATAAAACCCTACCAACCACCATAAATAAAAAACTCGCATCATGAAGAATTCCTTAAAGAAAGTAGACCACATGGAAATATCATTGGTGTACTGCTAATGGATTGTTACTCCACTCTTGCTTTTATTTTCTTTATTTGGGAAAATCATGTGGTTTATAAAAACAGTTCTTGATTCTTGATTATTAGCTCTTGTTAACTGATATTTCGGGCTGTAAAAACATTTGGATTTGAGGGAATTATTGAAGGTTGAGATGGGAAGTTGGTGTCCGAGTGGATCGAGGACACGTTAGCTCAAGTGGTAGAGCAGCGGCGTATCTAGCCGAAGATCGTGGGTTCGAATCCCGTTCGTGCCATTGACTTTTTTATCTCAACTAAAAACCTTAATTAATTGTAAGATATTAACTGGTCAAGCGGACCACGAAACTAGTGAATCTAACACCTAACATTGGCCCTTAGGCCTGTTAGATCGAGCAATGTTAACTAGCCGATTTTTACAAGTCTACGTCATCATTTTTCTCGATCTAACACCTAACATTAGCCCTGGCCTGTTAGATCGAGCAATGTTAACTAGCCGATTTTTACAAGTCTACGTCATCATTTTTCTCGATCTAACAGGACCTAACAGAGTTAACAGGGTTAACACAAAGATCGTGAATATCTCTATTTATCATTAATTAAGGTTTTTTGTTGAGATGAAAAAAGCTAATTCCACGAGAGGGATTCGAACCCACGACCTTCGGCTAGATACGCCGCTGCTCTACCACCTGAGCTATAGTGACCTCGATCCACTCGGACATCAACTCCTCATCTCAACCCCACCTTATGAGTTTTCCCTCCTTGTGCCATTTATTGGTCAAGCGGACCACGAAATTAGTGAATTGAATCTCTATTTATGTTTCTTTCTAATCTTAAATCCTCATCCTCTCCAGATCGACCAATTAATCCATTCGCAAATTCTCAGACAAACTTACTAAAGTTAACTTACTAAAACTAAACCACAACATCAATATTCCTTTCAATAAACTGATTTTCGTCAACCTTTTCAAAAGTTCCACCCAAATTTCTTGATCTATCCTAACCCTACAATTCGAGCCTCCTCTACACCTTCCCATCCCTCAAATCATCCACGTCTCCTTGAACGAAACTGACCAACATAATGAATGCCAGCTTTCTCTTAACTAACCGCGTCCTTCATTTGCTGGCCATAGTGTCAATATAGCGACCGAGAGAAAAACATGCGCACATATTTGTAATATTTATATTGATATTTAGAGACTTTTGGATCAACATAGTGTAGAACCCGACAAAAAGAGGACATTTTGAAATGAATATCTCAAAGATTTCACAGAAAAGTCCTGACCCAAGTGATAAAAATGAAGTTACATAAACTGTTAAGCAACATGGTTTCAAATGAAACGGAATTGGAATATATACTAAGGTCATAAAAGATATCATGGGGCTGGAGATCAACGACAATAATATTTTATATAACACAATTTTAACGGGAAACTTTACATAAGCATGAAACTCGTCGAAAAAAACTGTATTACATTTAGGGCCTGATTGAAACATTTGTGTATTCATGTAAGCGTAAATCTAGTTAATTTTATATCCTAACCGGCGGTCAAAAGCCGCTCGAATCGGATATTCCGGTCATCGTAGGAATCAAATAATCCGAGTTTGAAATAACCGTCGGGAAACGGCTTAATGAGAAAACTAATCATGGGACTTCGTTCGACCATTCGTCTTATTAGACTACTTAATGCCATCGCCGGACTTGGTCAACTCTCCGCCGGCAGTCATGCCAACAGAATTAACATTCTTGTCCTCATTTGCATACAACAAGCATATTTTGTCTGTGTAGCTCAACTGTCCTTCGACATAGGCCACCTATGATTTAAGTACCCGATGTTTAGACCGGGCCTGATATTTTCTTTTAATTGGGTCTATCGATCTTTGGGAAAAGGTTTGACCGTCACATACACATTTAAAAAAAAACTAAAGGACCTTTGGTAGTCCATTTTTGAAGAGATCCAAATCAGAGTACCAAAGAATCGGAAGATCTCTCGTGTATACATTGGATAATCATTCATTCAAATATGGACCATCGCTTCATATTCACGTATGTTGGTTATTAATGATCAGGAATGATCAAAAGATAAATCGTGATTCGCGATCTTTCGAGACACTAAAGGAAAAATAGCCTGAATGCAGAGTCTGCATATGTAAAAACTTTTGCAATTGATTATGAAAGATATTACGTAATGATGAGGTAGCTGCTAAGAAATGGATCATGCAGATTTAATCCTGGGATCAGTCAGCATTCTAATATTTCCAATTAATTCCAATCATTCTAAGGTTTGTAAGGATTATCATTGCATAATTAGATCAAAATGAATACTCAGAGGAACAACTTGATCGGCGTATGTATTTTCCAGAAAACAGGACTATTGTCACTCAGCTTTATAATTACAAATTTAAAGCGTAAAAACACACGTGAGTCAAAAATCATGCAATTCTGGTAAGATGTTTAGGCTGAATTTAAAAGCGAGTTTTAGCATTACACTGCTTATGACACCACTCCCACAAGCATTAGGTAAAGAAGCCATTGACCGGATGTGAGTCCAGCACATGTAGCAAAAAACTTTTATGTAAGGTATTAGTTGAAATAAAAAAGCTAGAGTCACGAACGTCTTCGGCTTCGGCTAACGGGGTTCGAATCCCGCTCGTGACACTAGCTTTTTAATTTCAACCTATACTTAACAAAAAAAGATTAATTAATTAAGAAGTTATTTGGTCAATCGGACGATGAAAGATAATGGATATAAGTAGCAAAAACGTTTAGGAGAAAGACAAAACCACATTTTTTACAAAATTTGCAAAGTGGAAAGCAAGTTTTACAAGCAAAAATTTTGATCACATCAACTAAAATAGAATATAAAAAAAAGCAACACTTTTACGTCGTTGGCAACTAGCGTATCATCATCCGACTTAGTGGAAGGCTTTGACGTATCCTACACCATGAGTATAACCTGACGTCGCACAATTTGTTTAACTTTATACTTTCTTATCTAAGGTTTTGGCTGAGATGAAAAAATTATTGTCACGAGCGGAATTCGAACCCAAGACCTTCGTCGAAATACGCCACTGCTCTACCACTTGAGCTATCGTGACTTCGATCCACTCGATTACCAACTCATCAGGGTATTCACGATGTTTGTAAGATGTTAACTCGTGTTAACTGGAATAGAAAAATGTCCAGTAAGATCGTAAACGCCCCCTTCTTTTCTTAGAACGGTAAACGTTTATTTTTTCGCAATGCTCCGTATGGCGATTGGTAGAACCGAAAATAAAGCTATAACAGTCCTTGAAAGCTTGTTGTTGTTTGTTTTTCTTTTGTGTTAAATTGTAAGATGGCAGAAGTTAATAAAAAAGGAAAATTAATCAACCTTTCTATTAAAATGCTATCTGTGCACTCGAAAAGTACTAACAAATAACACGCTTCAATTCGTGCCGACATACCTTACTTGTATCCTAAGGTCTAACAGCCTACAACTTTATAGGATATGGGATGTATCTATTATGAATGAGAATGTAAGGACAGGTCAGAAATTAACAAAAGAAATGTATAGATGTGATTTAATTAATGCGTATTTAAGATTAAAAATACGTGTAAACAAAAAACAGCTGTTAAATTCATATCTGCCATGTTGGTTACCAACGCCCGCCCTAACGGATAGCAATGTGACTACATTTTCGACTTAACACCTAACATTGGCCCTGGCCTTCTAGATCGAGCAATGTTAACTAGCCGATTCTTACAAGTCTACGTCTTCATTTCTCTCTATCTTACAGGACCTAACAGACTTAACAGGGTTAACACAAAGATCGTGAATACGCCTGAAAATTTTCCTTGTTTCTGAAGCAAAATAAACCACGTGACAAATTTTTGGTTTGCTTCATATATATAACCCTATATCTCAAGTTTTAGCTAAATAAAAAAATCAATTATTGTAGTTGAGATGGGGAGTTGTTGTATCGAGGTCACGATAGCTCACGTGGTAGAGCAGCGGCGTATCTAGCCGAAGATCGTGGGTTCGAATCCCGCTCGTGCCATTGACTTTTTTTCATATCAAGTAATAACCTTAATTAATTGTAATGATTTAATTGGTCAAGCGGACCACGAAATCAGTGAATTTAAAAAATCAATTATATTTAGTGGTCTATTGACCAAATTACTTCTTTCAATTAATTTATTCTTTTATGCAAAGTTTTGGTCGAAATGAAAAAGCTAGTGCCACGGGATTCGAACCCACGACCTATATCTCTTGAAAAATGACTAAAAGGAGGGAAAGGTTATAGGTTGAGATGGGGAGTTGTCTGAGTGGATTGAAGTCGAAGCCGAAGGTAGTGGGTTCGAATCCCGCTCGAGATACTAACTTTTTCATTTCAACCACTACCTTACATAAAAAGATTAAGTTTATACTTTCTTTTTATGTAAGGTTTTGGTTGAATGTCGAAAAGAACATTTCAAATTTTCCCCTTATTCGCCATTCCTTAAACCGAAGATCGAGGGTTCGAATCCTGCTCCACTGAGTTTTTTATCTCAACTAAAACCGTAGATAAAATGAATAATAAATTGAAATAATTAATATGGTCAATTACCACCGCTCAACATATATGGATTTATACTAACTATTCGAGAGTACGGCTGTGAGAATGAGAATGTGAATGCGGTTTGTGAAGCAAAATAGACCACTGTGTAAAATTTTTGGTTTGCTTCATATATAAAACCCTGTATCTCCAGCATTAACTAAACAAAAACTTAAGGTTCTTGAGTTTTCCCTCCAAAAGTTCAACAAGGACGAAGGCAATTTTAAGAGAAAAAATTTGACTCACGTGTTTTGACCGAGGTCGATCCAAGACTTCTGCAGATCGCTCCAGCCCGCTGTCCTCGTCGTCGATGTTGCTCGGCTCCGGTGAGCTGCCAACGCTGGAGCCCATCTCGCCTTCGGCCTCCAGCAGATTCCTCAGCTCTTCGGCAATGACGTTATTGAACTCGGACCAAGAGGCGAGGATGTTCTCCGACCAGACGGAAAGCCTCTTCGGCTCCGGTCTCTCCTTCTTCTTCGCCTTCTCAACAGGCTCGACAGCTCTGTCAGCGGCCACCGACCACTTCTCGAACACCTCTCCCAGCTCTTCCTGCAACAAGCAATAAACTAATGTCACTTTTGATCCTCTCAAACTACTCCCATTGTCTACTTGAAGCAGAAGAAATAAAAATGTATATGTATTTAGTTCGGCCAATGCCTAGTAAAAAAAAGGCGCCAAGTCCGTAAGGTCGAAATTTTCATAGCTGTAAACAAAAATGTATAACAGCCATCAGAATTCATTATTTTGATGCTGATCCTGTTACTCTCTTGTACAGTATCGTAAGCAAGGAAGATAATTTTTCTTCTAACATTCAATATGTCGATTATAGTAATAATTAATAAACTATCATCGTTAAACCCATTAAAATCTATTGGGTCCATCCTTAGAATATCAGGCAATCCTGTAATTTTGCTTGTGTTGAAAAATTCAAGTTCAATTTATTGGAAATGTTAGTAATTTAATATGCCACGAAGAACCTGTTGTTTATAGCTAACGACGTAGCATAGTATAATTACGTATAAGATTAGAATAGGTCAGATAGTGTTATATTAGGTTCACTTTACAGGAAGCTCTTCTGATTTGTAATTAAAGATTACTATCTTCCAACATGGGCCCGTCGAATCTTCATTTTTCCTGGGTTATAACACAACGGGTCAAGGTGTAATCAAGGTGGCTGGAAGTCGTTAGAAAATGCGTTTACAGAATTTGTTGTATGTTAAAAACTCAAAATCCTATTCAGAGGAAATAGAGAAGTGGCTATCATGTTGGGAAAAGTGTATTGAAAGTGAAGGAGGGTATTTTATTTAATAAAAAAAGTTTTGTAAACATTTTATAACGATAAACTTACATTGTTTTCGAGATAACCCAATACAATCGGCTATCGATTAATATTGTAAACCACATGCGGAAAGAAAGATTTCAGCGTATCGCCTTTCCTTGCTTATAACCCTGACGACGAGCCACAGTCAATTTCGAACTTTTATTTCACCCTTAAACTCGTGCTCTTTTAGCTATAAATTCTGTTCAATAATTTATTGTATAACGTTTATTTTACCTCTTACGTGAAATTTTCAAAAATGGAAGGCTTACGCGAATCGACTCTTCCTGCTAACACCTCTTAAGTCGAGACATCTGAGCATTTTTGTTTCATTTCACATGATTTTCTTTCATATTTAGGCCCAGTTTAGCTGTAATTTGAGTACATCTTACGCGACATTTGCTGAAAGAAAGGTTTCAGCGTATCGCCTTTCCTTGCTTATAACCCTGACGACGAGCCACAGTCAATGTCGAACTNAACTTCTCCGTGGCCATTTCATTTGTCGCCAAGAATCAAATAGATTACACGACATTTGAAAAATGGCAAAAAGGAGGGAAAATTCAAAAGGTGGGGTTGAGATAAGAAGTTAGTGTCCGAGTGGATCGAGATCACGATAGCTCAAGTGGTAGAGTAGCGGCGTATCTAGACGAAGGTCGTGGGTTCGAATCCCGCTCGGGACACTGGCTTTTTTATCTCAACTAAAAACCTTAATTAATTGTAAAATATTTTTAAAAACTCCAAATTTCAAACAAAAAAATTTTTTTCTAAATTTTTCGTGCAGAATTTTTTTTCGGCTACCACGGTCCCCCAACGGTTATTTTGGAAAACATTAGTATTGGGATTTTAGTTTTACGTTGATTTGCCACATTTGATTTTGATGAAAAATCTAATAGCATTGTAGATTAAAATTTTCTCTTATGTCATATAAGTAGGTACTGTGTTTATATTTCGTGACTGCTTGATATTTTTCCTACCTATAAAGTCTACAGCTAATAAAACTTTGCGTGGTTTTCAATTTTTCAAATCAACTGTAATTCGTGGCAGAATTGATTTTCGTTTCCTCGCCAGCCATTTATATATTTACATAGATTTTCCAAAACTAGATTTTTCATATTTTTAAAATAGAACAATTATAAATAACGAACAAAACAACGACCGTCTGTTAATCATGTCAAATCGGAATTGAAATCTCCGAATCCCCGGCTCTCCTTTTCACGGGTTTAATTATACGTAGAAGAATTCTATTAAAGGTTATTAGTCTTCGGGGCAAACTAGTTTTTAAACTGCCCGCATCATCGTCTCGTGATAAATCGCCCGAAGAAAGTTTTGTCCTGGCCGGGTTATTAATTAAAGAAGCGTCCGAGACGAAAATAAGCCCATGAGGATATCTCAATCTTGACCTGGAAACTCAAAAACGTTCAATTTTTAATTTCCTCTGGAAAAAAAGGAACAATAGAATAATTGACGTTTTATTTGAGCCTTAATAAAAATTGGAAAATTTTCCATCGGAATGTCTAAACTTTCAATGTCACCTAGGGATAATTTAGACTAACTAATTTATTCCCAGGTCAAAAATAATTCTAAGAAATAAGAAATCAATTAAGAATCGAATTACTTAACATGGATAACTAGCCTAAAAAATTCGGCACGAAAAATTCAGAAAATACAAAAATGCTGAAATTTGGATTTTGTAAAATGTTGGACTGGTAACTGTTAATAACTAAAAACTCCCATAGTTTTGCAAATTCCCTCAAAAGTTTTCCAATCAATTAGCTTCCAGCCGTTTAGCCATCTTTTCCACCTGGAAAAATTGAATGTGCCCCCTTCATCGACACTATTTTTTTCAACAAAATGCAAAATTTTCGAGCTTTCCAAATGGGCAATTCAAAAAGGTGGGTATACCGCTGGAAGCTAATTGAATGGAGAACTTTTGAGGGAATTTGCAAAGCGCCAGGACTTTGTAGTTATTAAGAGTTACCAGTGCACCATTTTAAAAAAATTCACTAGTTTCGTGGTCCACTTGACCAATTAGTATCTTAAAATTAATTAAGGTTTCAAGTTGAGATAAAAAAAGTCAGTGTCACGAGCGGGATTCGAACCCACGTTCTTCGGCTAGATACGCCGCTGCTCTACCACTTGAGCTAACGTGACCTCGATCCACTCGAAGCCCGCTCGTGACACTGACTTTTTTATCTCAACTAGAAACCTTAAGTAATTGTAAGATATTAATTGGTCAACCGGACCACGAAACTAGTGAATTTAATAAGTTAAAATGATTTATACTTCACTAAAGCTCTCCGTCGCCATTTCATTTGCCGCCGAGAATCAAATAGATTAAACGACATTTGACAAAGGGCAAAAAGGAGGGAAAACTCAAAAGGTGGGGTTGAGATAGGAAGTTGGTGTCCGAGTGGATCGAGGTCACGATAGCTGAAGTGGTAGAGCAGCGGCGTACCTAGCCAAAGATCGTGGGTTCGAATCCCGCTCGGAACACTGGCTTTTTATCTCAACTAAAAATCTTAATTAATTGTAAAATATTTTAAAAAACTTCAAATTTCAAAATTTTTTCTTAATTTTTCGTGCAGAATTTTTTCATCAATTCTGCAATGTAAATAGGTTCCAGCTGGCACAAACCATATTTTTCTACAATCAGTAATATTGAAGTTTGTAAGCAATTTAGTGGACCTAAGAAAAAAAAAAAAAAAAAAAAAAAAATAAGAATACTTCTTTACCGTTGAGATTTGGACAGGGGTTTAAAAGAATTTTTGTTGCATACGGTGAGTAGAAACACCTGAAATTTTCGACTCTTATTTCCAGGTCATCCTGTATGTTTTCTTTCATATATTTTGCACTGACACACAAGGACTCCTGTTATGTAAAAACTAAAATTTACCTTTACAGCAATTTTTTAAAAATAAAAGTAATGCATGATAAATATTGTTATGGAAAAGTGGTAATATATTTGAAAAGAGTGGAAGAGTAGAATGGAATGGTATCGGGTTGCCCATTAAACCCGATCTCTTTCCTCCTTCCGAGCTAACGACATTCTCGGCTGGGTCAGTCGGTTTGAGTTAGGAAAAAAATGCCAACTGATTTATTAGAATGTATTATTTTATTAGCCGAAGAACCCCGGAACAAACCGTGATAAATGAACTGAGGAGTTATTATGATAAATAGAGTTTAAACGTCAACTCGAACAAGTCCAAATTGATGGTTGGAAAAAAAAAACCGGCTGACTTTCTAGAAACGAGGGGCTTTTAAATTGTCCCTAATTTTGTTTAAAGTTCTTGACGACAAAGTTGGACTTAAAATTCAGCAATTGTGAGGCTTGAAAGAAACTTTATCAACATGAATATTATGATCGCTTTAGAACAACACTCTGAGGTTATATTAAGGAGAAGAGTTAAAAAAAAAAAAGTTTTGGATCATAAATACTTTATAGAATTGCGCTTCAATTTTTAACAGACCCCAAGGAAAATGGTGTTTTTGTTTGGATTTTCAGTCGTTGGATTTGCTATGCTCCGCGTAGGCAATTACGTTTGTGAGTTATCTCTGTCGAACACACTAGTCTCAATCCATTAACTTTGTCCCCGGTCGGCCGAAAATCATAATTAAAGATCTCCTAGTTTATTATTTCGCCGTTTCGAGGGCTGCGATTGGAAGGGAAACGAAGGTTAAAACAAGGGACGGCGATCCGCATGAGGTGGTAACCGTCGCTACAAAGTTACCCGACTTGGGGGATATTCACAAAAACAAAACCTCGGGATAGAAAAATAAAGGTGATTTATCGGTGTTTTTGTGCCTGGGGCCAGGCATTCATTTTCAGCAGGGCGGACTGCCCTCGGACGAAATTCGACAATAAGCCAAAATCTATCGTTCAAGCTCTTCACAAAACAATCGCTTTATTCACCAATGGAGATATTAGGGATATTCACGATCTTTGTGTTAACCCTGTTAACTCTGTTAAGTCCTGTTAGATCGAGAAAAATGATGATGTAGACTTGTAAGAATCAGCTAGTTAACATTGCTCGATCTAACAGGAGGGTCAACGTTAGGTGTTAGGTCGAAAATGTAGTCACATTGCTATCCGTTAGGGCATACGTACCAGCATGGCAGCCATGAATTTAACAGCTGTTTTTTTGTTTACATGTATTTTTATTCTTAAATACGCATTAATTAAATCAGACCAATACATTTCTTTTGTTAATTTATGACCTGTTCTTATACTTTCATTCATAGTAGATGCATCCCACATCCTATAAAGT